GCAAAGAAAGTGATCAAGTTCAGTTCTTCAAGTGTCCTCAACACCCAGGCCACAGGTAAATGGCAGCACATGCAGCTTCACTCCTCCTCATGCCATTTCACACACCTGTCTGGCTCCCCAGGTAAGTGAAAAAACAGTCATAAAACAGAACAGCAAAGAGGTCAGATGCCTTTGAATGCAGATGTCTTAAACTGAACTGCAGCTGTTTGTGTCACCTTCAGCCTGTTGGTGTCTGTATTTGTCAGGTAGAGTGGAAGAAAAGACCTTAAATCTTCCTATAGACTATAAAATGCCAAGGAAACCATTACAGCAGTTTCCTGTTATCTCAGCTAATGACAAATGTTCCTGCAAAAAATACACTAGATGAGATCAGGCTTCTCCTATGACTGTGAAGGGCCTGTTTGGTTTTTTCTTACTTAATTTTTAAACTGTGCATCTACATTTTTCACTTTTATAACAATAGGAGGCAACAAGTTCAATACTTAAACACACAACAGAAAAATAAAAAATAGAAAAAAACAATAGCACCTCTTTGAGAGGAGACAACTCTGAAATGACTGTATATGCCTCAGTAGCTACACTTGAAAACTATGACCTTATTATTGCCTTTTAAACACAAAGGCCTTTTTAAATCACCACTCTATGACTCTATGAGCCAGAACATACTGCATGTACTGTTAAATTTAATATTATTATAGAGAAAAAATATTAGCAAAACTATTTCTTGAAGCCATTCTTGTTTCTAAATTACCTAGCAGGGAAGTAAAGGTTCTTGAAAAATCTTTCTAAATAAACAGTACAAATGAGAATGCAAAAATACAACAGAAATAATTGCTCTGAATGGTCACTTCACTTGTCCAGAGTCATGTAAGCTACCAGAAAGGTGATGAAAATCCATAGAATGTTATTTTTCTTAGAGAAGTGTAAGTATTTTCAAGCCATCTCTATTCTTAAATATCCAACTGGCAGGTTTTAAAGTGTCATTTGAAGTTTCAATTATAAAATGTGTAGCAACCCAGCACGGCTTGGAGTCAACAAGAGGTGCCAAAAGCCTCCCACACAGATGGCATGAGTGTGCTTTACTGTACTCTCTTTAAAACTAACAAGAAGACTGAGACTGTTTCAAAAGGTTCAGTAGCTCCCAGACAGAAAAATGCAGGCATTTATTTTCTGAGACGTTCAGCTTCTATAAGCATTCAAAGAAGAGAATTGAAAACTAACTAAAAAACAGGACAACAGCAGCACCACCAACACAGGTAGCATCACAAACTATGTCTCACACTCCTTATTTTACTCTACACTGGAAGACATCTTTAATTTAAAAAACACAGAATCCTATAACGCCAGGTTGGAAGGGGCCTCAAGGACCATCTGGTCCAACCTTTCCAGGTACTACTCCAGTTGATAGGAGGTGGCTCAGCACCCTGTCAAGCTGAGACTTCAAACTGCCCCATATGGGGGAGTCCACCACTTCCCTTGGGAGACTATTGCAATGTTGGACTGTCCTCATGGGGGGAAATTGACTTGTCTCCAATTGGAATGTCAACTTGTGCCCACGACACCTTGTCTTTTCCATGGGACTCCTTGTAAATAGGGAGTCTCCATCTTCTTGGGAACCACCCTTTAAGGACTGGAACATGGTGATAAGGTCTCCCTGAAGCCTTCTTTTCTCCAGGCTGAACAAACCCAGTGTTCTTAGCCCCTCCTCATCTGGCAGGTCCTCCAGTCCTCTGATCATCCTTGTGGCTCTTCCCTGGACCCTCTCCAGCCTGTCCATCCTTTTTGTTAAGGGGGGACCAGGCTAACAGATGCAGGGCTTGACAGACAGTGTCAGAACATACCATAAATAGTCTAATCTCAGCATTCTTCCTGTGCTTATGAGGATGTGATGAAGTGCCAGGTTTCAGTTCTGCAAGAACTGAATTTAGGTGGCTCATTCAGTGAGCACATTTGTCCCTGGAAGGAGGCACATGCTGCTGTCCCAAGCAGCTTGAAATTGGCTGTTATGGATCCATCCTTTGGTTTGAAATCTTTTGAGTCCAGAACATCTAAGGAGTGGTACTTTTTCTGCCTACATGTTTGATACACTCTGGAGAAGTTGTCACAGACCACTGAAGTGGTGCATTAAGGAGATATTTAGTAAAAATTACACTCTTGCCTTACCCTTGCTGGTTCAGAAAGTCATAAAAAGTAGATTTATGGGAGAAAATTTATGGGAGAAAGTCTATGGACCAAAACTCTTCTATGCACTACAAGAAGGGAGCAGTTATTAAACAGTTTACAAACACTAAGATCTCTAATATTACAAAGCTCACCATATATTATATGCTACTGGCTGGTGTTCTCTACCTCATTCTACCTTCAAGAATGTGGCCAGACATGAATGTTGAGATCTCACCACAGCCTCCTACTTCTGTTGGACTCTTTCACCTTAACATTAATTGCAGCAGACAAAACTGAATACTTCTACAGGAACCTTGAGATGTAAGTGACCTGGAACATCTAAGTAAACAAATGTGAAGCAAATAAAGGATTTTCCAGTCGTAACTTACATCCCCAAAGCTCTCAAAATATTTAATCACCTTATAATAAGGGGTTTAAAAAGCTGGTGCAGAAACTTGGACGTTTAGTAACATATTTATATGGTACAAGATCAGAAAAAGACACAAGTACTTATGAAATTGAGTGAAAACATCAGCTGTTCCCCAATACATGGTTTTTAGAAGCTTTTAATGTGCATCTCAGGCAACCATTCAGTCCAGGAAAAAAAATTACAAAGCCAAGTAAAAATATTAAACCTAGTCAATAAGCATGATTTAATGTGTTATAATAAAGACTGAGAATAGAGAAAACCTCACTGTTATTACTCAACAGTTTACACTGGGGTTTAAAAGCTGCTAAAGGACAGGTTACTGAAATTAAGAAATGGAATAATGCCTGTTAATTGTTATGTTCAATTCAGTGAGGAGCAGGTGAGAAACATGAGGAATTAGTTTAGAAAAAAATCCTGCAAGTTATAGCAACTGAAGTCCTGGGAGAGCTCTAGAACTGACTCTCCAATAGCTGGGAAAAGAGGATGTCAGGCAGGAGCTAATCCTGAAAAAATCTTGCAGAACACAGGTAAATGGCCCAACAGGGATTTATACACTTAGCTAAACTTCTCCTTTTTAGAAATCTATTGTGAAATAAAGTATTAAGTCATGAGGGTTTGGGAGTCTACAGTATGAAGGGCTAAACCTTCCAATCTGTCTCAGACAAGAGGAAATTGGTTTAATCTTCATACACCCACACACAGGCAGCTCTAACTCCTCAGAAATTTGTTTTCCAGATATAAATGTTCTAGTTTGCTACCCTTCTCAAAGTGATGTACAGGAAGGAGTATGAACATATGCTTAGAGAACAAAACTGAAGCAAACCAGATTAATGTTCTATCAAGCTGCCCAGGAAGTGTTTGGACAAGTTATTAAAACAGTATCAAAATTAATTTGCAAGACATAATTATATAGTCATATTTTATTATGCCAAAACAGGAAGACCTCAGTGAGTTTAACCCTTCAGTTATCTCAGCTGTCCTGCCAAAAGTCACTCAGTTCAAAGAGAAATCAGACACTTCTAAGCATCCCAATCCTGTCAACCATGCACAGTAAGACCCCTCCACCTTGATTTACACTATTAAGAATTCATGTTAAAAAATAACAACGTTAAAAAATGATACCACATTGATTGCCTGTTTCCAAAGAGAAGAGGTTTATCTTGGTATGGCTTCTTTTTTTTTCCTTTTACAGGCTTCATGTCACTAGATACAGCTACTTTCCACACATTCATTTCCCCTCAGCCATTTCCTTTGCTCTCTTTTCAAACTCTGCACAGGGAAAGCAAAAGTCCTTGGTGCTGCAAGTCTGACTCTGCAGCCATCCATCCCTACAGGCACAGGATCAGAGTGGAGGAGCTGGCTTCCCACAACTGGCCAATTCCTTGGTGCATTCCTTTGAGTTCTGTGGTTGCAGGCTACAAAGTGAAGCTCAACCCACAATTGCCACTATTTTCATATTAGAGCTCACAGGTGCAAAGCCAGTGAGAAAACAGGCGAAGTGCCAAAAAAGGCCTTCAGAGAGTGGATTTAAGGACAAGAAGATAGTTTCCTAGTAGCACAGTAACAACAGTGTAGCTACGTGTTGAACAGCAATTGCAGAATAAATTCAAAACTCTTCCTTAAATACTAAGCTGATTTTTAGTAGATAACCATTTGCCAGTGCTTTTTCTTTTCTAATTGATTGAAATACTCTGTGTTATAGAAAGGTATTTATTCTCTCATGTTTATCAGCCACTTCTCCAGTACAGGCAGGAACTCCTCAGTGAAGCCACACTTGTTATCTGCAGCTTATTCTGCCAGCCAGTAGCAAATCATGAAAGGCAATTTTCTCAGTCTGCAGCCAAAACTCACCTGTGAGACACACTATTAAAGAGAGACCGTAGAGCACCTTCCAGTAGCTGAAGGGCCTACAGGAAAACTGGGGAAGGGTTTTTTTACCAGGGTGTGTAGTGAGAGGACATGGGCTAATGGTTTTAAACTGGAAGAGGGGAGATTTAGGTTGGATCTTAGGAAGAAATTATTTACTGTTAGGGTGGTAAGACACTGGCACAGGTTTCCCAGGGAGGCTGTGGAAGCCCCATCCCTGGCAGTGTTCAAGGGCAGTTTGGATGGGGCTTGGAACAACCTGGTCTAGTGGGAGGTGTCCCTGTCCATGCAGAGGGGTTGGAACTAGATGATCTTCTAGATCTCTTCCAACCCAAATGATTCTATTATTTGCCTGCTAACAGACCTAGAATTCCAACATGAGCAACCCAAACCACTGTCCCACAGCTCCTGAAAGCAGCAGGAAATAACTCAAGCTCTGTGTCTCTTCAGACCACCCAAAACTGCTCAGTGGGCGTTCTGGTGGTGCTGCTGGTTTTGCTGTTCTAAAGAAAGCACAAAAGCAGATTTCCAGGGTACTTACTCTCGCTCCTTCTCCGTTAGTTTGTCGTTGATATTATCTTTGATTGTAGACCTGGAGCCCTTGTGAATGATAGGATACCTGAGTGGAATTTGTAAGAAGAAGGAGATCATTGACACCAAGTGAGCGGTGTAGCCCAGGGCAACAGCAATGCTTCCATCATCTTTTGCTGTCAAGAACAAAAGAATAACATTATCAACTGCAGGCTCAGGACAAGCTGATGTTTACTGTTCATAGAATGATTCAGTTCATCAAGCTATCAGGAGTTAAAACTTCAGAGCAGTCTCAAGTCTGAAATCAGTTTGGACTGCTTTTTAATTGTTTGCAGTTTGCTCTTTTCTTAAAGGGCAATGTCAAATGGGTGATGGCTTCAGCCTCCTTCCAGTGTTATACTTCTAAAGATAAAAGTTACTCTTAATGTTGGGGGATGGGAAAGAAGAGATGAGAAAAGTGAAACAAAATTCCCAAGACAAATTTCAGGACTTGAACTGTCTGCTTTTCTCTATATGTATGAGCAGGGTCAGGGAAAAGCTGCATTTCTGCAGAACTTCATTCATTAGTGACATCAGCTGGAGAGACACCCACCTCAGGGCATGAACTCTGTTCTTTGCCAATAACTGGAAGAACTCAGATTAACCCACTGTTCTGAAGGATAATTTTCAATTTGACACTGAAGGTTTCAACTATAAAGCATCACCTGCTGGGAATATGGCCTTCCAGGATCTGAAAGGCCTACAGGAAAGCTGGGGAGGGACTTCTTACCAGAGTGTGTAGTGATAGGACAAAGGGTAATGGAGTCAAACTGGAAGAGGGGAGATTTAAGAAACTCTTTACTGTGAGGGTGGTGAAACACTGGAACAGGTTGCCCAGGGAGGTTGTGGCTGCCCCATCCCTGGCAGTGTTGAAGGGCAGGTTGGATGGGGCTTGGAGCAGCCTGGGCTGCTGGGAGGTGTCCCTGCCCATGCAGGGGGTTGGATCTAGATGATCTTCTAGGTCCCTTCCAACCCAAACCATTCCATGATTCTACACACAAGTCTTGTGACTGAAATTACAGCCTTTAGCCATGTCAGGGCTTTTCCTTCCTGCTTTCTCTATTTTTCTTCTTTTTAAGTGAACACACCAATACAAGCACCATGACAGAGTCATCCCTTCTGAGGCACAACGGGGTCCTGGGAAGTCAGCTCAGCAAAGGATGACCTCCTAAGAAAGCTTATAATAATGTTCAACAAGTATAAAAATCACACCAAGCTCTGTTAGAATATGACACGACACAGGGATTCAGCAGTTACACCCTTTTCAAAATGGATTTTGTCTTCAACATTGCTGCAAAACTGGCTTTTTAGGAATATTTTTTCTATATATTTCAGATGCCTGTTGTGTTTGTTTTAATTATTATCTACTAGGAGTCTGAAATAAGAAACATGTCAGCTGGGTTTCAAATCCAACTGCATATTTCAGTTGATTGTTTAGTTACTTCTTCCTTGTAATACAGTATTTCTAGACACTTTGATAAAGAATCAGTCATTCCTTTACAAGGAATAAACACATGTGAGCTGAAAATGGCTCCAAGGTTGCAAGCCACTGATTTCTCAAGAACTACCAAAATGAGTTCACTTTTAGTGCAATCAGGAAAAGCAAACAACAGACTGGTATTTGTCATATTGACAACACTTGACATAATTTGCTTTAAAGATTATTCCCCCTCCTTGAGCACCAAATAAAATATGTTGTTAGCACAAGTTAATACCTACAGGGTGGCTTTAAAGAGTCAGACCACTGATGGAGGTTTTTTATCCAACAAATCACACATGTTGCAGAGTGTGCAAGTATTAGGAGTGAGAAAATCTCAAGAGGATTGTAATGAAGTTCCAATTGGGAAGTTCCAATGGACTGAAAGTAGCTACAATGGAAGTTGAGGTCAGACACAAATATTTTGCAGAATCACTACGCTTGCAATGTACCTCTAGACATTTCACAGTCCTAGCCCAGCTCAGAGCAGGGTCAGATCCAGCAGATTGCCCAGGACTGTGTCCACTTGGGTTTTGAGCATCCCCAAAGATGGAGATTCTACAGCCTCTCTGGGAAACCTGTTCAAGCATTTCAGTATTGAGTCTTAGAATAGAGAGATACTTTTCCAAGAGTCAAAAGTATCTTCCTTTGCACTAGCTAGGAAGCAGGAATAAATAATGCACACATTTTCTTCTGGTCTAGACTTTACCAGTCAGAAATTTAGATCCTAAACCCTTGCTATCAGTTTACTTAATTTTATGAAGGTTAGAAGCAGTGTCAACTGTAACAACTAAATTAAGAATATTCAGCTACCTTGAAAGTCTTCAGAATTAGGAAGCTTGACTCCACAAACAAAGTAATCCTTTTGATCATTCTGTAAGTTTAAAAATCAACAATGGAGAGTGAGAATGGAACAACAACATCCAGAAAACAGAAACCTGCACATCATCTGATGACAACAAAGCAGAAGACTTAATATTCAATGAAACCCCGAGTGATTTGACTTTGTGGTTTAGTCCCCATTTCATCTAATTCAGAAGTAAATGCAACTTTTTTTTAAAAGAGGGAAAAGCTTCATCTTAGTTTATTGTATAAAAGGGTTTTGGAGCTCAAATATTTGACATCTGTTTATATGCATTCCTTTCAAGTTCAGCAAGCCTACTGTCAGCATTACTTTATAGAATTGTAAACAAAATGGAAAGTATCCATTAAATTACAGCTACAGCTTTTCTACTTTTACAGGGAAGACTATTGGAAAGATGCTGGCATAAATCCTCTCCCTGTGAGGTTTGCAATCTAAGGATCAAATCCAAGAAAAAGCTGGAAAAACCAGCACGAGGGAAGAGCAAATTTCAGCGTGAATAAAACTTGATAGTTGCTCAAAGTGTAATAAATAGGAAGCTCATTTCTCATCAAGCACATTTTTTGACTATGAAAAACATACCAGATCAATAGGGTAGATATAGGAGAGCTCTGACAGCAGCTGCTTGCATCGAATGGTCTGCTGGGCATTTGTCTTCAAAAACAGTTCTCTTTGGGGAAAGAGATCCCAAAAACATTAGCTTCTTCCAAAGCTTTAAGGTATCAAGCCCTTATATCCCCCTTCTGCATCTTCCCAAGCATCCCCTTCCCCAAAAAAGCTAGGTAACTCCACAAAAAAAATACAGAAGGGAAGGTTAACATTTTATTTTCATTTGTACCTCATGTTATAAGCCTATTTTGACTATGACAATTAAATATGACAAAGCTGTGCTTCACTCAAACAGACCTGAAGGTTCTATCACAGTCTCCACATGCAACCAAGCATCTGTTCTGCTCTCTTCTAGACTTGTCACTGTGAATTCTCACTTTCAGTATCTACAAATTGTAGCAGAGATGTCTGAACACAACTTTTGGGGTGACATTAGGTAGAATTTGGTGCCCTGAGTCCCACTTCAAACGGCCTCCTCTCAAGCTTGTATTTCCTTTCCAACTGCAGAAGCAGCACAGGTCCTGTTACCTCTTAGCAGTGCACTCCTTCCTTAACTCATGCAGGGATTCATTTTGTTCTTGAAGTTTCTGATATTCAGTCTCAAATGCGTTTTCTAAACAACATAAAGAATCAGGGAAAAAAAAAAAGAGTATCAAAAGGAATTTCTTTGCTATCTGGAGTTTTAAAAGGAAATTACACCAATGCTGACAATAAAACTCTGCCAAAATGGGAAAGGACAGTGCAGGGAAGACAAAGGTTTTCATGCTCTATACACTGTTCACCACCCAAACAAAACCAACAAAACCTCCTTTCTGCTTTAACACCTGGTTCCCCTTAATTCCACACTGGTGGAGTAAGTCAGTTAAGGCACCTTGACACCTGCATAGCTAGACTTACTAAATAGCAAAAGCCTTCTTTTTAGCAGTGATTATTTTAGACTCAACTAGGTATCAAAAAAAAAAAAAAAGTCCTGCAGTAAGATCAAATACCTGTGTAGCTTGGTCTTTATCACAAAATCACTGAGGCTGGAAAAGACCTCTGAGATCATCAAGCCCAGCCTTTGGAGCTCTAGTGAGCTCCAAAGAGTCAGTGATGTAGCACTGCACTATAGGACACTTTCCCAGTAAAACAGAACACCAAGAAGAACGAGCATTTCACCTTTCAATCATCCCAAGGACACTCTGTAGCCTTCGTTCACTTTTAGGTTGGGGTTTGTAAGGAACCAATTGGAGTTTGAGGGATTTTTAGGAGTCCTGAGCAAACATGGCTCCTGCAGCTGGCACACTAGCTGAGCTCTGGGAGCAGGGCAGCTGACACAGTGTGGGACAGAGGTTTGAGATGATAAGGCCAAAGGGACCTGGGCTGGTTCCATGATGAGCCCTGTGAGGCCTCTTTACACTCTGAACTCCAGCACACTGCAGAGCATCACATTTCTTTACACTCAGCACTGACACAGACTGGTCAGATGAGATGCCTGTTGGTTTCATGAAACACACATTGGCATTTCCAGTAGCCAGGTGCAACTGTCGTGTGGCCAGGTGATGTTTTCTCCCATCCCACCACTGCCCAAACAATGGGCCATCCCCATCCTAAAGCTGTTTGGCAGGGAAGGGTCCTTGGTTTGGAATGCTGGGGAGGAAAATCTTATTTAGGAATTGCTAAAGTCCTGTCAGCCAAAGGAAGTGCTGGGGCTGCCCCCTGAGTGGCAGGAATCAAATCTACTTGGCACATGAAACTAGGCTGTGATATTTGCCTTCTGTAAACTGGTTGTCTGTGACACAGGGATTGAATTCCAAGGCTGTGAAAGCCCTTCTCAGGCTTATACTTTAATGCCATGATCCTTCCTTTGACAAAATTTGAAGTTGCTCATGAGATCTGAGAATCTTACTGATGACTCATCTTATATCACCTTATATGCCTGGCAGTATCTCAGGGGGGTGCAGGAGGATGGAGCCAGACTCTGCTCAGGAGTGCCCAGGGACAGGATGAGGGGCAACGGGCACAAGCTGGAACATGGGAAGAGCCACTGAAGGAGGAGGGAAAACTTCTTGCTTGGGAGGGTGACAGAGCCCTGGGACAGGCTGCCCAGGGAGGGGGTGGAGTCCCCTTCTCTTGCAGATATTCCAACCCCTGGATGCAGCCCTGGGTGATCCTGCTTTAGCAGGGGAGTGGGACTAGATGATCTCTAGAGGTCCCTTCCAACTCTGACAATTCCATGACTACATGAAATTGGATCCTAATCACAGGTAGAATAACATCCCCCATGACATCCCAGCATGCCTGTCCCAAGCCACTATTTACTGCATTATAGTGCAGCTCTTCTGATTTTCTCATACAATTTTAATTAAGCACAGATTTAAGATTGTTTTCAAGAGGTGTCACATTAAGAAGTTACTCAGAGACAGGCTACCAGCAACTGCTGTCCAGAATTCAACAGAACACAGACGGCTGCAAACTTCAGAGAAACACAAGCACATCAGATCCAGAGCAGAAAACAAAAGAGCACCTTCATTTCAGTCACCATGATCATAAGCTAGGCCACTGCTCTTCTGGTCAGTGGATTATGAAGATGTGAAATAGCAGCAGGAACAATTCCACACTTACTTCTGTCATGCACAGCATTTTTTTCCTTATGCAACAAGGCTACTTCATGACCAAGGGCCTTCTTCTGCCTCTCCAGTTCATTACGTAGCACCAGGATCTTCAACTGTAAACATTCACTCTCTTTTTTCTAATGGAGGAAAAACAAGATTTAAAAAAAAATGAAAAGAAAGTTTTTTCTGCATAATAGGGTTTCATAAATAGGGGTGATAGGAGGGAAGGGAACACTCAAACAAACTGAGTTCCTAGATTACTCCAGGCACTGGAAGGAGAGAAACTCAGCTTTGTCCCACAGTGCTTGTTCCTCCTGTCCTCAGTGACACAACCTGGCCCAGGGCAGGAATTCAGAGAGGAAGGAGAGGTGAGAGGAAGCTTCCACAGCACAAGTACATGAAGACTAATTAGCAGAGCACCAGAGTGCAGTGAGCATTGCCTGGCAAAGGGGGAAGATGAGCAATGAGGAGTCTATAGGAAATTGAGGCAGGGAGCTATAAAAAAGGCTGGAGATGTCTGACCTGCACTGTTAGATTCAATTTCCATCCTCAGAATGATGAGAAAAGTTACAGAAGGAATGAACACACAACAGGGAGCTGATTATGTTATTACATACAATTCTATCCAAAGGATCCCTTCTTTAAAAGTTTCAGGATTTGTCCTGTACCTACTCTAAAGCCACTCCTGTGTTCAAGAAGAATCTTCTTTGATGCTCTATTCTCTCTCACATGAGAATTACACTCTCATGTGCACAGTGAAGAAGAATTTTTTGGTTTAATTTGGATTTTTTGGTCTCGTTTTAAGGAACATCTACCACGTTTAATAGATACTTGCTGAGAACAACTGAAGACAGATTCAAATTAGAAAAGAGAAGTTATATCCCTTCAGTCCAATCATACCCCTGACAGAGTTCAAAGACTGAGGGGGCAATCAGACATACCTGGGAGCAAGTCTTCTGGAAGTACTCCCAGACCCTGTCACTTTGTTCACCTCTGCCAGGTTTCACTTTTCCAAGCAGTTCATGGAGATGATGCTACTTCAATACTAGCTGCCTGGAAAGAAGGCAGCTCTTGCTGAACTCTTCCCTCTGCTTCATATTTGCTTCTATTACACATCTATGCTCAGCCATTTGGTTCAAGGCTGCAGCAGGAAAGCCTGACTAAATATTAAGGAATGAAACCATAGTGCACACACTTATAAAAGGGAATGGAAGCCCAACAAGAGTTTCCACTACTGGACAAAGGAAAAAAAAACAAACAACAGGCAATCTTCTCCTTATACCACAGACCATGGTTGCTAAGAAGTTGCATCATTGTACAAACACTGTCATTTTTTGTTTTAGTGTTCTTTGAATCATAGAATGTTTGGGGTTGAAATGGACCTTTAAAGGTCATCTAGTCCAGCCCCTCCTGCAGTGCACAGGGACCTTTATGACTAGATCAGGTTGCTCAGAGCCCCATCAAGCCTGACCTTGAATGTGTCCAGGGATGGGGCCTCCACCACCTCTCTGGGCAACCTGTTCCAGAGCTTCACCACCCACAGTGTAAAGAATTCAACATGAATCTCCCCTGCTCTAGTTTAAGGCCATTGCCCCTCATCCTATCACTACACACCCTTGTAGTTTTGCTCACACATTTGTAAAGGAAAAGCCTCTGCAGAGAGGGACAAGGATAGCCAGGAGGTCAAAAAGATGGATAAAAGCCTTTTAACAGCCAAGATACCAGCAGAAGGCAAAGCAGCTCTGGGTTGGAATCACTCACAGGAAATGTTATATTGCTCCTTAAAGGGGTTGATGACTTTGCTTCTTAGTCTACAGTGCAACTCTATGATTAGAGTGGGTAAATAAACTCCCATTTTTCCATTTTGTCAAACCCTGAAACCAGTTTGACACTTTTGGAAACTAGCTGAGTACTCTCTACCCAAGATCTACCTTATAAATTAACTTCCCATCACAAGTTTGCCCTTTCCTATACAAGGCCACGTGTCAGTGACCACCAGTATCATGAAGTCACCACAAGCAACTCTTGTGTCAACTCATTGCTCAGCCTTTCTGGGCAGCAAGCAGAACCCAGTGCCAGCACACATTTTTTTGGAAGGAGGAAGAGGACAGGCAAAACAAACTGTCAAAAGCTATTCCAAGATCT